CCGGGCGGGGGTCGCGGGCATGGCTGAGGCCAGGAAGCGGCGAGAGCTGCTTCCCCTGATCTACCAGCATCTTCTGCAAGCGGGCTATGTTCGCGCAGCGCGGGAAGTGAAGGAGCAGAGCGGCCAGGTAAGTGCGAGGGCGGCGTGCGAGGCCCGCGTGCCGGATCCCGAGAGCCGCGGCCCGTGCCCCCTCCGCTGGCGACCGGACGGGCGGCCCGAGCCAGCTTCTGAACTGTGCGCGTAGGCGCGGGGCCAGGGAGGCCTGGTAGCTACAGCCTCAACCGTCGCTGCAGCTTCCATGCTCTCTGGCCCTCAGTTTCCCCACCTGTGCAGTGGGCGGGTCAGGAGCTAGGTTTTGTAATTCCCGCGCCCATCACCTCATTCTTTTTCTGGGAGCGGCGGTTTAAAGCGCCTCTGTCTCGGACCACGTGGCCCCACGCGGGCCCCTGGGGCAAGGAGGATGCCACGGGTCTGAGAGGTCGATTGTGCCTAACTTTGGGGGTGCGGGGGTCCGCCAAGAGAAAGAACCCCGTTAGCTGGGCAGGAACTCAGACCCTTGGAGAGCCTCAGTACTGAGTGGGATAGATTTGGGATCAGAACTTGTAGTGCAGTCTTTTCTTGTTTCATTCATTCTGTGACAGTCGGAGCCCCGGTGTGGGTGATGGAATGATCATTTGGGTCCCCTAGTTCTGTAGCGCTTACAGTCCAGCAGTGAAGAGTAAGTAAACTTAACTCTGGTCGTGTGCCACAGAGGGGCACTCGGGGCTCAGGAAGTATGCCCCAGGTTGCCCTTGTCACAAGAGATGTGAGGACAAGTGACTGCTACTTTGAGATTTGAAGGAGGAAAGTGAATATTCAAGGTCAAGGTGCAAATGCCCTGAGGTAGAAAGAAGCTTGTGTTGTACATACTATCTCATGAAAGGCCCCTATGCATAGAGCATAAAGGACCAGGACAATACTAGTCCCGATGGAGATGGGAGAAGGCAGGGGCCGGCCCAAACCAGTCTTAGAGTTAGTTTGGTCTTAATCCGAAAAGCAGCGGGAAGGGGGCTTGTTTAATCACTATCCCAGAGTCCACGAAGGGATCAAATGCTCTGGGATGTTACCTGCTTTTCTAGCCCTCCCTGGGCTTTGAAGCAAGTGCCTGGGAACATTGCCTTGCCCTCAGGGAGCATACACTTTAGCCAATGACATACGTGGAAAGTAAGTGGTACAGTGTATCCTGTGATGATAGATGCCGAGTGTATAAATTAAGCAAGCATGGGTCCCAGAACAAACAGAGCTCCCCACCCCAAAGGAACCAAGCCCCCTGCTGGGGTATGGGAGTGGAGGTTAATTGCTATTCTCTCGTTATTTCTTTGCAGAAAAGTTTCCCGACTCAACGGGCCACCCTTCTAGACATCTACACGCATTGGCAACAGTGAGTCCTGTGGGACTAGGGCCGTGGAGTTGGGACATCCCAATTGATCTACTAACCTGATCTAAGATGCGTCGCCATGGGAGGTGACTTGACTTTGAGAGCTGGGCTCTCTGAAGGACAAAACCTTCTCAGCAGCTTGTCGTTCATCTCCTAAGTTACTGAGCCCCTAACTGAATCCCAGACCCTGCTCTAAGGATAACACTCCTGGGATGAGTGAGACAGGCCAATGCCTTCTTTCATAGAGCTGATGTGAGAGCCCGGAGAGTAGACACAAGTCAGACTGAAACGTAAAACGGAGGTGAGGGTCACAGAAAGGAGATAGCCGCAGCCCGCACCAGCCTGCGAGGATGACCTGCGGGGGTAGGAGCCCTGGTGCCATAGCGGCTTTGCATTAGGCTGCTGACCACCAGCTGCTCTGCAGGAGAAAGCTGAGGCCCGGGAAACTGCAGGGGCAGCTCCCCCATGTGCTGTAGGGTCACTGAGTCCGGCAGTGAGTTTTTGGAGGCACGGCTTTCCTGGGGTGACCTCTGACTTCAGAGAGGTGGAGGGGGTGGAGGAGTGGCAATAGATGGAGAGGTGGCATAGGCGCCTGGCCATGGGAACCGCAGCACATTCGGTGCCTGTGACTTGGGGGACGCTACAGATGGGGCGGGGAGTGGCAGGCCTACCCCATGCCAGCCTGGCCACCCTCTGTGAGGGGAGTCCTTACCTCGGGAGCAGCGGGGGCTCTGGAAGCTGAGGTAGCGAGGGATACGACCTGGTTGGCACTCTGACTACAGCAGAAAGAGACTGGCTGGAGGCTGTGCTGGCTTCCAGAGAAGAGCCTCTGGGGCTTGACCCAAGACAGCAGGTGGAGACAACGGAGCCGTGGAAGAGGGGAGACCAGGATGTGTGCCTGGGCTAGAGAGGGACTGTCAGGTGGATTCCAGGTGTGTGGCTTGTGCACTTGAGTGGAAGGTGGGCCTGTATGTGGCGCTAGACAGGAGCCCAATTTCAAAGACAGTTGACGTGCCTCTGAAATTTCTAAAAGTGAAGGAGTCTGTCACTTGAGGAATGATTCGAAAATGAAGGAGGGGCTAGAAGATGCTCTCTCCCATGTTCTAGTCTGACCACAGCTGGCTCCGGGGATGAAAGTCAAGTCCCCGGTGGCATGGAAGAGCACGTCAAGCTCTCCAGGGTGGACCACTGCACCTCAGAGGACACAGGGAGTTGTGTGTTCTAGGGGGAGGGGGTTAGGCATAAGTAGGGCCCAGACGTGCTTCAATGGAAGATTGGTTTCTGGTTCTGAAGGCAAGCACTTGATCAGCACCGCCATCCAAACATAGCGGCCCACTGCGGGATTCCCTGGCATCAGGTGTGTGAGCACAGGTCAGGGGAGTGTGGAAGGGGCTCTACCCACCGATGGAGAAACCTCCCAGCCCTCTGTTCTCCCCTGCTGCCAAGTCAAGCTTGAAGCATTGGGGAGGGGGGAGCAGGCACCTGCACTTCCTCACCTCGCCCACTCACTGCATTTCCTTCCTCTGAGAGGTGTTTCTGTGAGCTGGGTCATGCCCGCACCCTCCCTGCCAATAGGCCCTCGGGAGGGGGAGGGTGCTGTGTGGGACAGGAGCCCCACACCCACCAGAGGGGGTCATCGTAAATTACTGGGCATGGTTCAGACCCAAGCACCCCTTCTTGGCCTCCCTTCCTGGCATACTAAAGATGACAGTAATGGTCTCATTGTGGCAACAGGATTGAAGGAGCTCTGTAAGGAGGTTGAGGACCTAGAAGGAGCCAGGCACTGCTCCAGAACATGCTATCACTGGGCATAAGCCAGAGGGAAATTGGCCCTTGGGGGACTTCCATTCTCCAGGGTGAGGGGGAAGTCCCAGTCTAACGTGCATGTAGTAAATGAAGAAGCCTGATTTTAGCAGGAATTGCTGGTAGTGGCCTTCCTAGGGAGGTGGGACCCAGACTGTGGCCGAGCAGGTGACGTCAGCCAGGAAACATGGGGCCTGTGGTGGCTTCCTCGGAGTGGGGGTCAAGGGAGAAGTTGCTGCAGAGTTCAGGGGACCGCTCTGATGTCCTAAGCTTCCTCTGGGGGCACCCTGGGCAGGCCCCTGTGATTAGCTGAACTATGTGCTTGGCAGTGAGGGCCAGAGGACCCTTGCTAGAAAGTACTTCTGCCAGGCCCCTCTGTCCGCGGGCCTTCCTGTGTAGTTGGGGTCAGCCATTAAGTAGGGAGGTGGCCTGCACAAGTGAGGGAGGGTGCCAAGGTAAAGGCAGGACTGGGAGGGGTGAAGAGGAGCCGGGGCACAGGCTTCCAAGAGGGGTGCAGCCAGCCCGGCCTGGAGCTTGCTCCTGGGCCCTTAGCTGTTGTCTGACGTGAACCTGCGAGAGGCGGCGTGCAAAGGGGCTGCTTTGGTTTTCTACTTGGACGGCGAGGTTGTCGGCGGTTCTGTTCTCTGACATTGGAGCGGGAAATGCCTGCATTTTCCTTCTCTGACAGTTCCTGATACAAGTTCCGGCTTTCGAGGTTTTACTGAATGTGCTCTGTGATGTCGTCCGTCACTCACGGTTTAGAAACGTTTGGCCAGATGAGCGGAGGCGGCGGCCGAGCATAGGGTGGCATCGCAGTGTTCTCATCTCCGTGTGAACTCTTCTCGTGTCTTCGGGGTCGGGGACAGTGGGACCGTCAAATCCCCAGGCGTGGCCCTGCCGCCTGTTGGTGTAGCCAGTGCCCTCTGTCCTGCAGGACCTCGGTAGTCGGCCAGAAGCAGAAGGCAGAGGAGGATGCAGCGCTCCTGGCCAGGAAGAGCCGTGTGTCGGACCCTGTGAGCACCTCGGAGAGCTCGGAGGACGAGGAGGAGGCAGAAGCCAAGACTGCCAACGCCAGGAAGAGTAAGCTGTGCTGCACGCTGGGTGCCGCGGAGCCCTGGGCCTCCCAGTCGGGGCCGTGCACCTTTTGGGAACATACTCTGGGGCGGTGTTGGATTATTCCAGGAAGAGTCCCCTCTGGCTTCTTTGGTGAGCCAGATCTTTTAGGGGAAGACGGGGAAGGCCCTGCTTATGTTTGTGCGCTGGGCACCAGGTTAGAGCAGGGGGCAGTGGTGGGCAAAAGTGGACCCTCATACCGTCCATGTGTGTGTGCCCTCAGTCATCCCTGCCCATGGGGCCCAGGAGCCACATTTTAACAAGTCCCCATGTGTTTCTGGGAAAGGTAGAAAGAACCTTCTTTCCCGAAACACTGCTAGAGAGAGGGCTGCCCTGCAAGTTGCCAGCTGCCTGGGGCTTTGGAGGATGCAGGCTGTTCTGGGCACTCAATTCCCAGAGTTGGCAGGGGTCTGGGCGGAAACCTTTGCACTTCCCTTCCTCCTATCCTGTCCCCCAACTGACTCCTGAGGGCCCTTGCCCTTTATAACTCAAGAGGTGGTCTTCCCCACGTTGGCTTTTTCTTCACGTACAAGATGATGTCGCAGTATCATCTTGGAAAGACCGGAACCCTCACTGGAGTCCTGCGCTGCAAACCAAAGGCTGGCCATTGGAATCTGCCCAGAGGGTTTTCGGAAGAAAGACAGGGCGGTCTGCTCCCCCACCCCCAATCTGAAAGGCCAGAAAAACTGCCCGTATTCTTGCTGCCCACCATGTGGCCAGTGGCGCTTCCAGTTATTGTCCTGAGAGTGTTTTTAAAAGACATTTGCCATGGTCCTGACAGACATTTTATGTCTTGCTTAATCTTTCCAATGTGTAACAACAAATGAAACAAATGTAGGAACTTGGAAGAAAACTGGGAAGTTTCTTGTTCTCCTGCCCACCCCACTTCCACCCCCACGGGACGCACCCCTGCGGGGAGCTTTTCCTTCACAGCAGGACAGGGATCCGCCAGCCATGTGTTGTAAGCACACATACTTATCGTGACTGGCTATTTAACATGCATGGATCTTGAACTGTGATGATGGTATTGTAATTATGTATCTCTGTATATATATACTCATGTATCTGTATATATATACTCATGTATTTTTTAAGAGAAGTCCTGTCTGTTGAGAAAAGCACAGTGAAATATCGTGGGTAGTACAATAAGGTGGTCCAGCAGCATCCTCATGGGGGTCCTTGTGGGGAAAAGTGGGTGAGAGGGTGGGTGAAACAAGATCAACCATTAGTTGATAATGGCTGGCGCAGTGGGGTTCCGTGGACTTTTTCTGTACTTACGAGGGTGCTTGATACCAGAACTGGATCATGCCGTACATCTCAGGAATGGAATCCGATTGATCAGTGCGCCTTTGCAGCCCTGTTCTCTGGCGGGGCGGTGTGGTCTGTAAAAGCTCTGGGAAGTTGTGGTGTCTGTCCTTCTAGCTGGTGCAGCCCTGGGCCCTGAGACCCGCCTCGGGCAGCTCTCTGGTCGTGGCCTCTGGCTCCTGGGTGGCTTTGAAGAGGGAAGGGCTGCATGGGCTGCCCTCAGTATTGGGTCTGGGTGCCTCATGCCACAAGGAGTTGGGAGCCTAATGGGGATGCAGACACCGGTGTGTCCTGCCATTCTTTCTCTCACCACTGGAAGACCAGGTTGACGCCCTGGGGGACTCTCTCCATGTGGGCTCAGCTCCCCCCACTAGCCCCAGGCCCTCACTGTCAGTCACACCTAGCGGTCACTGACAAGCTGATTCTGACTCTTGTGTAAGCGTAGGGCTGGCCTCCCGGCGGTCACCAGCCCTTTGTTCCCAGGCACCTCTGGGTGGGCTCAAATCGCTAGTCATGTTGACGGTCTTTTCCACCCGCAACGTCACCGCGACCACCAGGTGAGATGAGAACTGGTGCTTCTCCCCAGGGAAACCCTCCCCAGCTCACCTGGTGTTTTGTGTCTTGCAGCCCCGAGCCTCGTGTCTACCAACTCCTCGGTTGTGCGGGAGAATTTACCGTCGAGTGAGAAAGAACCAGCCGCGGTGAGTGGGCTTGCTGCCCAGTTGTGGCCGTGGGGGTGGGGGTGGGGGTGGAATCCCTGTGTCTGTGAGGGATAGGGTCACAGGTGGTCTCCCGACCTGGATTTGAATCTCAGCCTCTGTTACCAGCCGTGTGATCTTGGGTGAATCCCTTTTCCTTTCTGGGCCTGTGTTTCCTTCTGTCTAAGATGGGGGTGCTGTCTACTGGCATGTTGCGGGGAAGGGGGGGACGGGACGTGGACATCAACTGGATTCTGCCTGACTCAGCCACCCTACCGGACAGCAAAGCACTGCCCGCGGGGTTTCCGAGAACAGACACATCCTTCTCTTAGAACCACCCATAGGTCAGCAGCTAAGGGCCTACCCATTGCACCCCCAGGTACCTCCCGAATGTGTAGCTATGACTAAGTACTGGTGATCACCTCCCCAAACTGCTCTTTGGCTGCGAGGTCCCAAGGGCTGTAGATTAGCTCCCAGCCCCTTCCTGAGCAGTGGGCAGTGTTTAGGGTCACTTTGGGGATGAGGGGACAGACTCGGGAGGCCCACCAGTTGCCTGCACCTGCCTGACTGTGCAGTGGTGGGCTGGGGTTGGAGCTGAGCAGTGTGCCCTCTTTGTCCATGGTGCCATGTGTGCTCAGCTGTGTCTTCCATAGGCAAACGCCAAGGGCGCCAGCAAAATGGTGAATTCCGTGCCACACCCTGTGTCCGGGAAGGCAGTGGCCCACCCTCTCTCTGGGAAGTCCCCCAAGAAGTTGGCAGTGCCCTCAGCAAATACCACCTTGGTCTCAGAAACGGAGGAGGAGGGCAGCGTCCAACCTCTCAAAGCTGCTGCCAAACCTGGTGAGAAGCCCCCCTCTGTGACCCAAGCCCCTAGGATTTGAGCTGCTGGGACAAGTCTGACAGGAACCAAAGCCATTTGCTGTCCAGCTGACTGAGTGGTGGCCATCCTGTAAGACAAGCATGGAAGCACTCGCTCTGCAGGGCTTCTGAGGCTGCACATGGGTATGGGAGCAGCTGGTGGGTTCAAACCACTGACCTTTCCACTGCCAGTCCAACATGTAGCCCAGTGTGTAAGCAGAGCTCTCTGGGAGCAGAGTGGATGTGGCTTTTGGTTCACCGCTTTCTGCTGGGGGTGGGGGTGGGAGTCCGCTGAGGGACAGGCAAGTGTGGAACGAGTGACTCTCTGCCCCCTCTGTTCTTACCTCAGGGGCGGTAGACCCAGCCGACAGCTCCAGTGACGACACCTCCAGCTCCAGTGACGAGACGGATGTGGAGGTAACTGCTCCCCACCCTCAGGAATCACCCTCCTCAAACCTCCATCCTCCCAGCACCTCGGCTGGCCTGCAGAGGCCAGAGTCGGAGGCCTGGAGCAGGGCGAAACAGAGCGGCTGTGTGTCGTGCACCAAGCCTCAGTGAGGTCCAGGGCTACGGGAGACCAGGGCAGACTCCTCGGGCAGGGGACTCATGGTGTGTGGGGACCTGGGAGAGACTCGGAGCATTTCTTGCACTGCACCTCCCAGGTGGGCGGACTCCTGCCTCTGTGGGAGACCCGTTCCCTGCAGCGGTGCTGGGTGCTGCAGAAGGCAGGGAGTCGCAGAGCCTCCCGTGGACGGGTAAACGCTGTCAGGAGGAAAGGCTGAGCACCAGGAGGGGTCCGGCTGCAGGGATGGAGACCAAAGCGTTCGGAGCTTGTTTCTGAGAGTGACAGTGCTGCAGGAGGGGCCAAGTCTGCCCGGCCTGGGGAGCGCGGCTAGTAGCTTGGGTTTTGTTCTCGGGAGGCCAGGGGTGGGGGGCAGTGCAGGAGAACAGTGAGACCGTGGAGGGCCCTATCGGAGTGGTGCCAGGAGGAGGGTTCCCCAGTGCAGGGGTGTTCAAGAGGGAGAACCGGCTTCTGGGATGGATGTAGCTGGTGCCAGGGAACTCCCACTTCACCCAGTGACCCCATTTGTACCAGGCCTGACTGGGCTGCTCTTCACATGCTATCCTTGGGGACACCCCTGCCTCCTGTCCCCTGCCCCTGAGTGACTGGTAGCCCAGTACTGCCTCGGTGGCCTCCCACAGCAGTGGGGGCGTGGGAGACAGGAAACACAGGGTTAGGTGAGGGTGAGTGGCGACAGGAGGCGGCGGGCCCCGGCTGCCTCAGAATGGTAGAAGTCTAAGAGAGTCAAAAAGGGCAAGGAGTTTCTGGGGGAAGGCGTTTGCCTGAGCTAGTTCATCAAGCCAGCATTGTCTGGACTCGCAGCCCTCAGACCTTTGCCCACAGGGCCTGCCGCTCACCATGAGGCGGGCTGCCTCAATGTTCAAGGAGCAGGTGAGCTATCCTGGCTGAGGGGCTGCCCTCTGCCCTGGACACTGTGAGAGCTGTCAGAGAGGAAAGCTCATGGGCAAGCCCTGGGTCCAAGCAGTGACCTGCCCTAAGGTCCCCGCGCTTCTCGCTGTCCCAGAGTCGGGTGGAAGTTGAATGCTTCGGAAAGAAGGCTCTGAACCTTCACGGAGAGATGACCGCTACTGTAGTTCCTGCCCCCGCCTCCTGTTCCAGGTGAAACTGCCAGGGAAAAGCCCTCCTGCCAAGGCAACACCAGCCCCGGCCAGAGGAGGCACCGGAACCCCTGCCGGCCCGGCCGAGAGGCCTGAGCAGGAGGCCGACAGCAGCGAGGAGGAGTCGTCCGAGAGTGAGGAAGAGACCCCTGGGCAGGTGAGGCCTGGGCAGGCCGCCCTCGGGCCGCAGCCCCACATGCTGGTGGGGTGGCTGCTGCGTTCGGAGCACCTCCCAGAGTGGGGAAAGGAAGACGCCCCTGGGCTGGCCACTGGTGGGAATGTTCCCAGTGGACCCAAGCAGTACTCTAGTATGGCTCCCTCCAACCCTTGTTAGTCCTACTCCACTTACCCTCAGTTTTCCTGGCTGTCAATGGGCTATTGACATCATCCTAGCTGTCCTGTTATGAAGGGCTTTAGTTAGAACTTGTTGAAGTTGCTTACTCCATTGGCTTTGGGGACCCCGATGGAGTTGTGGACTAGGCATGGGCTGCTGACCATAAGGTTGATGGTTCAAGTTTACCAGCCACTTCTTAGGAGAAAGACGAGGCCGCAGTCCAGTCCTGTAAAAATGTGTAACCTGGGAAACCCTAGGGGACAGTTCTGCTCTGCCTTCAGACACAGCAGAGGGGTCTCCGAGTTCATTCTGTCGGCCTGGCTGGTGGGTAAGGGGCCCAGGCTGCAGGAGGGCGACCCAGAGGGGGAGCAGTATAATTGGACATGGAAGGGTAGCGGGCAGCACCCAGAATGAGCCAGCAGAGGGCTGGTTTGGAGGAAGCGGGAAGAGGCCAGTTGGCTAAGCGCAGGTCGGTCAGAGAGGGAGGAGGTACATGTGTACAGCCATGACCAGTGGGCTTTCAGAAGAGTGGGAACGAACTGCCCTTTCTCTTGTACTAGGTCAAGGCCCCAGAGAAAAAGTTGCAGGTCCGAGCTGCAAAGCACCCCCCTACACACGCTGGACCCACCCAGGCCAAGGCAGGGAAGCCAGAGCAGGATTCCGAGAGCGGCAGCGAGGAGGAGTCGAGCAGTGAGGAGGAGACAGCTGTGACCAGGGCTCCGCTACAGGTGAGACCATGGGTGCTGAAGTGGTCTCCACAGATGGCCCAGAGGGTTTGTCCCCGTCTGTCATTGCGCCCCTGCCCCCCATCGTTCTATATCTGCCCCCATCCACCCTTTGGTGATTCTCTTCCTCTCCAGACAAAGCCCTCGGGGAAGGCCCCCCAGGTTAGAGCTGCCTCCGCTCCCACCAAGGGGTCCCCTGCCAAAGGTGCAGGCCCAGCACAGCCTGGGAAGAGCGGGCCTGCAGCTGGCCCAGCAGGAAGGCCGGAGGAAGACTCCGGGAGCAGCAGCGAGGAGGATTCGGACAGCGAGGGGCCCACTCCGGCAGCTGTGGCCTCTGTCCAGGTTAGGCTGGGGGGCACCCTGTGTGGCCCATACCTAGAGAGGCCTCCTGAGCCAGGCAGGGCCCCATCTTCTGATTCCATCCTTTGTCAAACTCAGGCAAAACCCCCTGGGAGAAACCTCCAGGCCAGACCTCCCACGGCACTGGCTGCTGGGCCTTCAGGGAAAGGGGCCATCCTGGTGCCCCCTGGGAAGGCAGGGTCCGGAGTGTCCCGGGCCCAAGTGGGGCGGCCGGAGCAGACCTCAGAGAGCGACAGCAGCACCAGCAGCAGCGAGGAAGCCCCGACAGTTAGGACCCCCATCCAGGTGAGGGCTTCCCCACCCACTGTAGGCTCAGCTGTCCTCAGGGCTGGGACCTAGGGCCCCTGCTCTCTGCCCAGGCCTTCGGACTCTGCAGGGCTCTTTGCTGTTTAGTCCCCATGTGTCTGCCGCCCGCCCTCTGGGCTGCTCCCTGATCCTGTCTCTCGCTCCAGGCCATGCCCTCAGGGAAATCCCCCCAGGTCAGACCTGCCTCTGGGCCCACCAAAGGACCCCTGGGGAAAGGGGCGACCCCAGCGCCACCTCAGAAGTCAGCGCCTCTGGCCACTGAGGTCAAGACTGAGGGGCCCAAGGAAGAGTCAGAGAGCAGCGAGGAAGAATCGGACAGCGAAGAGTCAGACAGCGAGGAGGAGGAGAAGGAGGAGGAGGCGCCAGCAGCCACGACACCAGCACAGGTGGGGCCTGGGCTCTGCACCCTGAGCTCTGCGGGATGCTAGCAGAGCCCCTCCTTGCTAGAATAGGTGGGGTCTTTCTCCAGCCTCGGCCCTCTGTGTCCCTTCAGGCAAAACCAGCCACGAAAATCTCCCAGACCAAGGCCTCCCCAAGGAAAGGCCCTCCCATCACTCCTGCATCCCAAGGAAAGACCCCCCCAGTGCGAGTGGGCACCCCAACCCCCTGGAAAGCAGGAGTGGTGGCATCTCCAGCCTGCTCAGCCTCCCCGGGTGTGGCCAGGGGCACCCAGAAGCCAGAAGAGGAGTCTTCCAGCAGCGAGGAGTCCGAGAGTGAGCCGGAGGTGGCACCTGCAGCCACAGCAAAACAGGTGAGGCTTTGTTTGCCTTTCCACCCCCGGGGTGGGTGCCCTGTTGTCAGACCTGCTCCTGGGAGACACCTCACTCGCTTTTCCGGTTGCAGGTGAAGTCTGTGGGGAAAAGCCTGCCGGGGAAAGCTGTCCCGGCTCCTTCCAAGGGTCCCTCAGCCCCTGGCTCCACCCCGGTACCCCCTGGGAAGGCAGGGCTGGCTGCCACCGAGATCAAGAAGGAGTCTTCTGAAGACTCTGAGGACAGCGAGGAGGAACCTGGGACCAAGACTCCAGCCCCGGTGAGGCCTGGGAGGAGGCTGAGGATGGGCTTGTCTGGGTCTGCTCGGGCAGCCTCCACCCAGCACTTTGCCCATCAGCCCCAAGCTCCCCTGGGTGGCCTGGGAAGCCCTGCAGGCATTCTCCTGTGGCTTCCAGAACAAGGTAGAGTGCCACTGGGCACTTGCAGACTGATTTTGGTGTGAGAGTGCGAGTGTGAGGCAGGGGATGTGATCTCAGGGCTTTCTGGAAGGAAATGGCATCTGAACTTCGGGCTGGTGGAGCTGGCCAGGTGAAGTGCGGGGGTAGAATGTTTCCTGAAAAGAGGCCAGCCTATGCAGAGGCCAGAAGGAAACTGGCTCAGCCGAGTTCCCGCAAGCAGCATATGTCAATGCAGTGTAGGACGGGTGACGTCCGAACGAAAAATAGGAGGCTTAGAGCCAGACCACCTGGCTGCACATCCTAGCTGATTTCAGGCAAACTGGGGCCTCTCGTGTACTCCTCTGCTAACTAGACATCTCTCCTGCAAGGGTGGGTGGTATTTAAGATCCCTCCTCCCTGGCCAAGGTGGCATCGTGATTACACGTTGGGCGCTAGCCACAAGGTCAACTGTTCAAAACCACCAGCCCCCTCAGGGGAAAGATGGGCTTTCTACTCCTACAGAGAGCTACAGTCTCTGAGACGTATAGGGCAGTTCTACCTTGTCCTATAGGGTCGCTCTGAGTTGTCATCAACACAGGGCAGTGAAGTCAGTGGGCTTCACTTCTCAAACTGCCCAGGGCCTGTGCACAGCCAGGGAGAGGTCCCTGCAAACAGCCAGCCCTCCCCGCAGTGGGTTATTTTTCAGTTGTCGATTTTCCCCTCTAACCACCCAGAAGTGAGTCACTTCTTTTTGCCAGAGCACACGTTTTCTAGTTGTCTGTTTCCTGTTTGGTGCCCACCCCACTCTCTTGTCTTGTATGACCTGTGGTCCCATGATTCCTCCTGAGGTTTTCAGCTTCACAGGCACCTCTTCCCGAAACGTGGTAGCCTCCTCTCCCCTTGCACGCCCCAGGCCTGTTCCAGCCCCGGCCCCTTGTTAAGTTTCGTTTTGCAGGGCATTTAGGGTTTGTCTCCCGCTCTGAGCCTCCCACCTGTGCTAGGACACTGGTGACTCATGCTCTGGTTTCTCCGGGAGGATGCTGGAGCTCCGCTGTTGCTTGGTGACCTGCTCCTTCTCAGCCAGCCTGTGAGGGTCAAGGCTGGGCATGTGCCCCTAGGGCTCCTGTCTCGAAAGCCTTTGCCCTTCCAGCCTCCTCGGCCACTGAGATGATTATGCCTCTAGGCCTTGTGATCTGTCTCAGGGTGAAAAGCAGAACTTTAGGCCCTCGGCCTAGCACAAGGGCAGTGAAGTCCTGTCGGAGGAAAGGGCCTCTCTTGGCTTCAGGGGGCACGATGAGCCTCTTGACAGGCAGGGCCAATAGAAGGAGTCTGTGGAGCTCCTTTGCCTTGCCTTCTTCCTCTGTTAGGTAAGGAGAGCACTGCCCACGCGGTGGGGTTATGACGCGGATTCAGTGAGGTCACACATGGCCTCCTCCTCCAAGCGCGGGCACCCCTGACTGTGCTCAGCATTACGGGGATCAGGACTAAGGCAGGGGTGGGGTGGGGGGTGGGGTGGCCCGTCATTACTCAGCATTACCCAGCCAGCTCCAAGTAAGCCACCGCTGAGGAATCAAGATCCCAAACAAGCACATGAAAAAAGAATCCGGGAAGACTGAGAATTTGCCCTACTAGCCAGATGTGCCGGAGGTTGAGGAGAGATGGCTCTGGGCACAATGCCCTTGGAGACAGCCCTGAGAGCAGGCCCCGGGGGACGCTGGGTTTGGGGAGAGTGACCGACCCGTCTCTGGCGTGCCTTCTGGGCCTGCCCTTGTGTTGAGTGTTGTCCGTACCTTTGTTAAACTTCCTATCTGCCCTCGTGGCTTTTGTAGATCCTGTAAGCATTCCTCTTTCTACATGTAGAGCATGTTGTCTGCACATCCAGACGGTTTTACTGGTCCCTTCCCAGCTGGGTGCCTTTGGGGCGTTGTTCACTGCATTATTGCCTGGCTAGAACCTTTGGATGGGAATGGGGAGAGCAGCAGCCTTGCTCGTCTCTGACCGTAGGCAGCATTCGGTCTTGCACTGTGAAGGATATGAGTTGTGCACTTTTAAAGCAGTGCTGCCCTGTATCTGGTCAAGGACATTTCCTTCGACCCCCAGTTTGCTGAAGGCTTTGTTGTTACCATGAGCATGAAGCAGTTTTGTCGGATGCTTTGTGTGTGTGTCTGTTGGTGATCATGTGGTTTTTGTCCTTTCTAAGGATGATGGTGATTAACAGGGCTTTCTACTCCCGTAGTGCGGTGATGATTGATAAGATGGCATGGATTTTTAAGGTATTAGGTCATGCTTCTAAGAATAAATCCCCTTGGTCTTGGTGTTTACTCCTTTCATTGCTGGGGTTAGTGCTCACTCGTTGCTTTGTTTGTTAATTGTATCCATGTTTGAGGAATGTTGTGACTTTCTTCTGATGTCTTTGGCTTTGCGATGTGGCTGTTTCTGAAAGAGTTTGTATTCTTTCTTTCCTAAACGTCTAAGAAAATTCACCCATCAAGCCCTGTGGGCTGGGCTGTTTGTATGAGAAGGAGGTTTCATTGCTGAGTGAGTTTATTTCATTCATACTGGTCCGTTCAGGTTTTCACGTCGTCTTGAGTCTGTCTTGGTAGTACTGTATGTGCCTTTTTCGTGATTTGTCTGTTTCTCCTACATCTGTCTGGTTTGTTGGCGTGACATTGTTTGTAACAGTCTCTTGTTGTCTTGTGTGTGCTCTGTAGTGCTGTCTCTCTCATCACTTGGAACGGGTGCCTTCTGGTCACTCTAGTTAAGGATTGTATCCGTGTTAGTCTTTTCAAAGAACCAGCTTTTGATTTCATTGATTTTCTTCCTGGCTTTGGCTTCCATACTGATCTTTATTATGTCTCTCTTTATTTTAGGCTTGATTTGCCCTTCCTCTAGCTTCTTGTGGCTGATTCCTGGTGTCTAGGGTTTAACTCTTCCTAATACCACCATCTAAAGCTATGATTGTTTTCCTCTAACAATTGCATTACTCACTTCACCCCATAAAGTTTGAACTGTTGTAGTTTTATGTTTGTTCTTGGGCTCGTTGATTATTTGGAAGGGGTTGTTAATTTCCATGTATTTGGGGGAGTTCCTGGGTTTCTGTGGTTGATAAACATAAATGATGATTCCGTGTGTGTCAGTAAAACTGGCGCAATACGATGATGGCTTTTCCATGTCTGGTTGTTTATAGTAATTCACCAGGCCTTTCTTCTGTGCAGTTAGGAACTGAGAGCCCTGAATCATGTGCACGCCCGGGGATTCCCTAGTCATACAGTCGATGAGCCTTCTATTAGTCCCAGATGACTGCGAAGGTAACAGGCCGTTGAGGGCGAGCGACTTGCTTAGGCTCACAGACTGTCAGCGGAGGCTCCAGGTCAGGCACTCTGGCTGCTGAGTCCTGCTCCCAGCCGTCTGCTCTCCTGCCACTCACTGGCTTCCCTTCGCATCCCAGGTGAAGGCCCCAGGGAGAACTCTGACCAAAGCCAGCCCAGCTTCCCCCAGAGCACCGACGGTCAAAGGGATAGCTGCCGCTCCTGGAAAAGCGCTCGCCGCAGGTGTTCAAGCCAAACTGGCATCCCCAGCCAAGGCAAGTGGGGCCAAAGCCGTGGAGGGATGGGACAGAGGAGGGCGGCTGAGCAGTGGCCTTAGACCAGACCAGTGCCCTATGTGGGTGGAACCAGCTGTTTGCTTCATCCCCAACACGGTGGTCTCACAATTCAGGTGAAGCCGCCGCCACCAGGGAGAAGCCTGCCAACCAGTGCTGCCTCGGCGCGCAGCCAGGTGTCTGCTCCAGCTGTGGAGAAGTCAGTGGCTGGAGCAGCTCAGGCCAAGCCAGGGGCAGCCAGGGGGTCCCAGGAAGAGGACTCGGAGAGCAGCAGCAGCAGCAGCAGCAGTGAAGAAGAGGCACCAACTCAGGTGGGCAGCCCTGTGTTTGCACCTCTGTGACCAGAGCTCCAGGTGTGCCTCAGGGCACACTCCTATGCCCATGAGTCTGTGTCTCCATCCACCCACCCTCTGGGCTCCCTCACCTGACTGTCCCTCTCGCTCCAGGTGAAGCCCTCAGGGAAAGCCCCCCAAGCCAGAGCAGCCGCAGCTCCCACCAAGGGGTCCCCTGCCAAAGGCACAGTCCCAGCTTGGCCTGGGAAGAGCAGGCCTGCAGCCAGCCCGGCAGAAAAACTGGAGGAAGACTCAGGGAGCAGCAGCAGCAGCGGCAGCAGCGAGGAGGAATCGGACAGGGAGGCGCCTGCTGTGGTGGCTGGGACACCTGCCCAGGTGAGGCCTTCTGTGGAAGCAGCGGCTGCAGGTGCCACGTCTCCCAGCCACCTGCGCCTGCCCTTCCTCCATCCGAATGGGGTTTTGGGACAGATAGGGAACGAAGTCCGTGGAACACGGTGTTGACTGGAGCATCTCTCTTTAGGTGCGGCCTGTTGTGAAAACGCCCCAATCCAAGGCCTCCCCAGGGAAAGGTGTCACGGTCACTCCTGTGTCCACCAAGGCCCCCGCAGCACGTGCAGACACACCAGCACCTTGGAAGGCTAAACCAGCCTCATGCACTACGGCCAAGAATCCAAAGACGCCATCGTCAGGGGGTGCCGAGATGGCTGGGTCTGTGGTGCAGGTAAGCGAGCCCCTGAGGAAGTGGAGGCAGTCAGCCCTCACCTGGGTTTGGAGTCCCTCCGGGGAGGGAGGGTTCACCTGGCTAATGGTGAAGACTGGCCTCTGGAGAATGGGTAGTGCAGCCGTCTCTAACTGGAACCTTTCTGCCTCTGCACATGGGCACAGCCAGGTGGAGGTGACAGGTGCTGGGTGTCGGGGAGACAGGGTGAAGTGAGCACCCCACCCCATGTCAAGGCATCTGCTGCAACTGTTGTGACCATGCCCCTCTGCTTGGCCTTCCACTTCCGATGAACGCAAACACTGCCAGCCAGACACCCCTGCAAACACCACACTTGCCATGCCATGGGAACGCCGCCCCTGTGGGGTTTCAAGATTTTGAGTTATAGGTGTAGACCGCATCCGTGGAGTGGCTGGCAGGGTCGACCACTGACCTTGTGGCTAGCACCTCCCTGTGGAGCCCCTGCACCACCAGCCTCCTCCCACCCTCTCTGGGGTTCCCCTTCTCTTGAGAGTGAAGCAAGCCCCCAGCACTGCTCTCCCACTGTGTCCCAGGGGTGGGTGGGGCAGACGGGTCTCAGGCCAGACAAGGGGAGCTGGGCGTTCACCAGACACATGTGGAGGGAGACTTCCTGGAGGGGAGCCAGGGAGCAGGGGCCAGCTGCCATGTAGGCGGCAGCAGTTTCTTGCTGGACATTAGTGGGGACATCTTTGGGAGCCCGAGTGCCAGACCAAGGACATAGGGGTTCCCAGCTGTGTTTTAGCCTGGGCATTAACTCCTGTTTTTAAATCTTAAATTGGCTGCCTTATCAGTCTGGATATCTCAGGCTGCAGGAGCAAACCTGGCTCAGAAGAGCGTGCATAGTAAGGAAGGCAGTCTCCGGGTAGGTGGCTACATCAGCCATGCGGTACTGTTGGTGACCTTGTTTCCATCCACCTTTATGTTCGCGTTGTCACAGGAGGGAGTTCTGCAGTGGCTGCTAGAGAGCCAAGCAGCACCCCTCGGCCTCCCCCTAGGTTTTCTCAGCCTACTTAGGGCACGCACTCCCCCTGCGAGCTGCCTTTCCTGAAGCATGTTTGTTAGCAAGCAGGACAGGGGTGTTGCTGCTGTAGCAGGAGCCCAGGACACGCAGGGCAGTGACACACCCCAGCCAGGAGCTTGCAGTTCTCTTGAGAACCGTCTTACAGATAGAAAAGCACAGGGCAGCCACGGCCTCCTGTGCCTCATTCTCTGAGTCATCCTCCTCTGGCCCCTAGACGACAGATCAGTTCCCACTGATGGATGGCAACCCTGTGTGTCGCAGTGGATTGGAGCGCCATCAGTGTCCCCTGCCGGGTTCTTTGGAGGTAGACGACCAGGTCTTTCTTCTGGCGCGCCTCTAGCTGGAGCCATCCCTTCAGCTTTTTGAGTAGCAGCCAGGCATGTTAACAGCTGTGCCACGCAGGTTCTGCTCCCCAAACCAGCCCCTCATTTATGCAGGGCCTGGTGGGAGTGGGCAGCCAGTGTTGGGGTGCTTTTAGCCAGGAGTCTTATAGCCAGCTGTGTCTGGGCCACCAGCTCACTCCTGCAACCCACGCAGCCGTCACCTTTCCCCGCAGACGCCAGCCAGCAGCACTCCCCCTGCTCGGGTTCAGGTTCAAGGATGAGCTGCACTGGATTATGGGGCTGGGTGACCCTGCACGTGCTGGCCAGCAGCTGCCCCCTGGAGAAAGATGGGGCAACTGGAGCCCTAGGGGCCAGCCCACACACCCACACACGTGCCCCCGTGTGTTTGTTCAGATCTTGTCCCCTCGGAAGGAGAGTGACTGCAAGCCTGCCAGAAGCAAGAGCCTGGTCCCAGCACCCCCTGAGGAGGAGCTGCCATCAGGCCAGGTTAGCCTCCGGGAGGGCAAGGGTCATCATTCCCCACCCCACCCCCATGGGAAAGCATGTTGTCACAGCACTTCACGGTTCGCAGGGCTCCTTCCTGTCTTTGACCCCGGGAGGTGGGGAGCAGGCCCAGGCAGACAGCTGAGGGTCAGATCCCGGCTTCGCCTCCTACCCTAACTAGAGATGCCAGGATGCAGCCACATCCCGCTGGCAGGCCTGTGACAGTCTCCTCTCGGTTCACAGTTACAGCCTTACTGCTCTGTCTCAGGACCCCCCAGTGTTGGCCCGCTCATGGCCTCTCTCAGTGCCCGAGTCAGTTCCGACGCACAGCCGTCGGCATTGAGTCCATCCAGCTCCTCGTGATAGAGAAGCCCTGTCCACAGTCTCAAGGCCCCATCTGTACGGAAACAGACTGCCCGCCACGGCTCCCGGGGAGAGGCTGCTGGGTTCCAACCACCAGCCTTAGCGCTTAGCCACTATGCCACTAAAACTAGGACTCGGCAGTCGCAGATGAGGGGCTGCCAGAGGTTGCTGGGACCGGTCCATTCTCTTTCAATTCCGTGTCTTCGCGGGCTTTGGGGGCCCCTGTCATGACAGAACTGCCTACAGGTCGTGGACTGTCGATCGCTTGTGACGCTGCTGGTAGCTTCAGGCTGCTAGCCTGTCATTCAGAGATGCGGCAAAGACAAGAACAGCTTACACTGTGGTGACCAGGAGCTCTGGTGATCAGGCAAGCAGAGACTGTGGTTCAAACCCATCAGCTGCTCCGCAGGAAAAAGACGAGACTATCCGCTCCTGTAAAGATGCACAGCCTCGCACACCCTGCAGAGGACCCCCTTGGGTGGGACTTGAGTCTGTTTTGTTGGGGTGGCTCGCGCTGGCCACCTGGAGTGATGCAGTCACTCGATTAAGCCCTGTACTGTTCATCCCCACAACTGGTGAGGAAGGGTCCAGAGAAAAGAGTAAGGCTGGGGAAGTTGAGTGGCCTGTTTGGGCAAGCGGGCAGACCTGCAGTGGGAGCCCTGGCAGCCCCTGCCCCCATTCCAGGGGTTTTCTTCCCTGGTGGGGGAAAGCAAACTGGCTGCACCCCAGCCCCCTTTTGCAGTGTCGGGCCTCTCTGGGCTGCTCCGGGATCTAAACAGCTGGGAGGAGGGGGCCGCTTTGCCTTCCTTGGCGGGGGCGGACTAACACAATTAAAATGAACATCATGCTTAAATTGAACCGTTTAATTGGTATGTTAGTCCTGAAGATTCTGGAGTCCCTCTGAACAAAGCCGGCATCGGCGTGCAGTACTTGTTCCCTGGGGAGAGTCAGGGAAGCCCGGGGCGCCAGCCGCTGCCAACTGTACAAGCCCGGGGCTTTTAGCTCCTTATCCCTGGCTCGATAACGAGGCCAATGACCATTGCTACTCATTGATTGAGCACTTACCTATTGACCAGCTCCATTCGTTCTGTTTTGATTATTGGCCATCCCTGCCAGCCTGGCAGCAGAGCTCCAGCCCCCGGGCAAGCTGGAGTCTGAAGCTGCAGGAAGGGCCCCAGACCAGGGTCCGTGTTGAGGACCGGGCCCTGCCCCCAGAGCCTCAGCTTCAGTCAGACTAGGGTGACCGACCTGTAAGAAACTCGCTTGGGGTGTTCCCTTGTGGGCAGGTCAGCACAGCTGTCCCCAGGAGAAGTTCCCAGTGGGTTCACTGTCCTGTGATGGTGTCGGAGAAGGCAGCTGTGGCCAGCGCCAGTCTGTTGGCCAGCCCCCAGGCAGTGGTGGGGGTCTAGGAGAAAGGCTGTTCCCTCGGCTGCCTTTGTGCTGTGTCCCTTCCTTGTCTGGAGTCAGGAGCCCCCCAACCCAGCTGACCTCCCCCACCGCTCAGTAAGCCTCCGTGAAGGTGGGACCACCATGGGCCTCCACACTCCTTTGGCCAGTGCAGCCTGGCTGTTTGAGCTCTGCAGACTCATGACACTTCTGCCCTGACAGGACTTCCTCAGTGGGCCTCTTCTGCCCTGCCCTGCACGCACTGTCCCCTCTCCACCCAGAGGCTGGGGTGTGGCAATGTGGGCCGGTGGAGCTTGGAGGAGGCTGCATTTGCTGCTGAGCTGCTTTTAACAGCCCGAGACGCTATTGTTTGCTCAGTGTCTTCGTTGCCTCTGTGTCCCCGACAATCTGTTCCTCTGTCTTCTCACATATATATAGATTCCCCCCGGCTCCCCAACAGCAAGTTTTCTCCCACTTCCCGTCCTTCTCGTCACTGGGGAAGGAAGGCTTGGAGCAGCTGCGGGGGCGGCTCTTTGGCAGGATAGCAAGGACCCGAGTCCCGCCCGGCCCCACCCTCAGATGGGTATTTGCTCCCCACCTGCTGCTGCCCCTCAGGCTGCACACACGGGGGTCAGTTCCATTTGCCCGCCTCCCCCTTGACCTCAGGGGACCAAACCAACTCTACTCAGCAAGGACCCATAGGACAGGGCGGGGCTGCCCCTGTTCTTTACCGAGCAGAGACTTCATCTTTCTCCTGGTGGATGTGCGCTACTGGCTTTGTGGTTAGCACCCCAACTTGTCACCCACTCCATCACCACTGCCCCTGCCTTTCCCTTCTGGTCAGAGAGGGCAGCACCCCCTGGCCCTGCAGTGTGTTGTTGAGGTAACTGGTCAGGGGCCCTGGACCCTGCCCCACTCCAGAGTGAGAGCTAGATTGCACTGAGCCGAGCCGCCCAGCCACCAGCACAATTGACCACCCTGATGTTCAGAGAAATAGGCTGGAACTGAAGGCAGAGGCCCTGGGCACTCTTTAGGCCTGAGCCAGAACCATCCCTTGGGTCACCTAGCAGGAAAGCCAGTGACCCCAAAGTGAAGGTCGGTGCTCCACTGAAGGAACAGACGCGCTTGTGTGAGTCTCAGATGGGTGGGGACCCTTGTTTCTGCCAAAGGCCATTTGGGGCCACACCGGCCTGCAGTTAATGAACTCAGCCCTAGTGAGATGGCTGGAGCTCCTGCCCTCGTCTGAGGCGAGTGGTGGTAATGAGTGTGCGGGCCTCAGATGGCCTGAGAGCTGAACTGTCCCCACCCCTGTTTAGACTCCTAAAAGGTCAACCTTTAACCCACAGCAAGGGTCAGACAAGGGCTCAGGGGACCTGTTCATGGGACAGCCAGAGTGCCACTAGTGAGGGCGTGGCTGCTGGCATGGGGTTCGCTGTGAGGGTCGACAGGTGGCCGCTTGAGAGCTGTGAAGTGCTGTCCTGGGGCCCGGCGGGTGGGGAGTGTGGGTGGGGACTGGGGGTATCCTGGGGGAGCTGCCTCCAGCTCTCTGAACCCCTTCCTTTTTAATAACCTCCCCCACCCTCACCTCTCCTTCCCAGGCCAAGCCTTTAATCACTGGGGGGGTGTGTTCTGTTTTTGTTTTTCAAGGTGATTAAACCCCCTCTGATTTTTGTCGACCCTAATCGTAGTCCAGCTGGGCCAGCTGCTACCCCCTCACCAGCCCCACCCGCGAGCGCCCCCAGGAAGGCCTCAGAGAGCTCGGCCAGGAGCTCCTCCTCCAAGAGCGAGGATGAGGACGTGGTTCCCGCCACCCAGTGCTCCACTCCTCCCGGTGAGCGCCATCCCATCGCGGGGGACCAAGGAGAAGTGCTTTCCAACAGCTGCTGACCGAGCACCGAGTGGTGCTGCCGGGGGCAGTGAGACTCCTGTCACTGGGGGCATGTCAAGGCATTGTGGGAGAGGCTTGCATGTATCAGCGGGACCCAAGTGGTTCTTCCGCCTCTGGGAACCATGATTCGGCCAGCAGGAAACGTCTATAGCTGTTGTCTGAGTGGGCTTTTGAAGTGGAAGTAATGCCTGGCCTTGGTTGAGCCGTTAAGAGATAAATATTCACACTTACACACACAAAGCATGTCTCTGCTGATCTTACCTCCCAGAATAATTACTGTTACGTTTTAGAACTTGGTCCAAATGTGTGTGGACTGATAGGATGAAAGACCGAGGGTGTCCGGAGCGTGTTGGAGCCCCTGGTGCGGGCGGGCTGTGCTGTCAGTCTGACTGCACAGTCGCCCTTTGAAACTCGGCTGGCTCCGACCAGGAAGCAGTGAGAGACAGTAGTCTCTGCAGTGCAGCCCTCATACCTGCGCCTTTGCAGGGGCCGTGTTGATTGCCTCAGCGCAGCTCTAAATGCATGAGCGACTCCTTGGGTGCATGCTCCCTGCGTCCGGGCATGGCCAGCTGAGGGGATCTCCTGGATAGAGACAGAGCCAGGTCCATGGCCCCAATGGCTGGGTGACTGCCCGCCTGTGGCTTTCTCCTCTGTAAGATGGAAGGCTGGGTAGGGTGTAAGCAGGTGGCTCCAGGCCCCTGCAAGGGCTGAAGCAGGCATCCTTGCTGCGGGGGGTGGGAGGGTGGTGGGGCTGGCTTGTGGGTTCTGTGTTCTGAGGTGCCCCTTTCCTGATCCATTCCAGTCATGAGGACCAATGTGGTGCCCATGCCCACCACCCGCCCAACGGCTGCCCCCAGAGCCAGCCTGGCCGGGGCCAGCAGCAGCGAGGAATCCAGAGGGGTGGCCAGAGGCAAGCAGCAGAAGGCTCCAGCCACTCAGGTAGCAGGGCGAGGCCAGGTGGGCTCTGGCCACGCTGCCCTTGCTCACCCACCCAGCGCCCGTCCCTGTCTCAGGACTGTGACTTCCCCAGCAGGGTTGAACGTCTGCGTCATTATTTTTTCCTCTTGGTTTTGAAATGCCCCAGACAGAAGTTGTCCTTTTAGACAGATTGTCCTGGTGATGATGGTGAACATTACTCCCAGGCCTCTCCATGCTCAGGGAGGTTGGCCTGGTCCTGGCCTCTTGTCTAAAGCCAAGCACAACCACACTGCCAGCAGGTCTGCAGGTCCCAGTGGAACTGCCCCATGGGGATCCTCAGACTCCAACAGTGGGGTGAGCCACGTAAGGGCTCCTTGTTCAGATGATCAAACTGAATTGTGGCCCCACCCCCTCCCCGATGAGTCACATTGTATTTGTTTTCCCGTCCTGTGGAGAGGGAGAAGTTTGCCACCTGCTTGAGAGAGAGGGAGAGAGCACTCGTGGGGCTGCTACAGCACACTCACACTCACACACACACACACAGTGGGGTCGTGAGCAGAAGTAGCAGCAGGCAGAGGCTACTTCTGAGGACAGCACAGGGGAGCAGTGGGCACTTCCCAAGGGTCCGTGCAGCTGATGTCCCAGGACCCTCAGGCCTCAGGGCTGCCTCCTGCCGTCCACAGGTGACAAAGAGGAGCCCGGCTTCCCTCCCACTGACACAGGCCGCCCTGAAAGTCCTCGCTCAGAAAGCCAGCGAGGCCCAGTCTCCCACTGCCAGGATCCAGCCGGCAAGTGGGGTGAGTTTGACAGACAAGTCAAGTCTGCCTGGGGAGGTGGGGGGACCTGCAGGAAGGAGGGAGTGGATGGTGCCTGGAAGACAGCCACCCAGTTCTGCTCCCAGAGGCGGGACTGTGGCCATCCGCAGCCCACCCCGCCAAGAGCACAGGTGTCAGCTCTGTCCCAGCACCACCCTCACTTGCCCTGCGGCCTCTCTGGGTCTGGGGTGTGCAGTGTGAGGATGATTGTCAGCTCCCGTGGTAGCCAGTTGTGGAGGGAGTGCATTGTGTGGACACCGAATCTTCGTCCTCTCAGGCTGGCAGCGCTCTGGGAAAGCCCCTGGGCCCAAATGCCAAGAGCAGCCCCGCCCTTGCCCAAGGGGCCAGCAAGCTCAACACCCCCGAGCTTCTCCAGGGCCCTCCGGCCGCAGCCACTCCCTCGGGACGCCCCAAGGCCAAGGTCTCTGAGGCCAGCGAGGATAGCAGTGACAGCTCTTCAGGGAGTGAGCAGGATGCTGAAGCGGCCCCAGTGGCCAGGTTGGCCCACAAGCCAGGTGAGGGCCTGAAGGGACGGCTCAGGTGGGTCTGGGCTAGGGGAGCGCTTCAGCCTCGCTCATACTACGGCTGGCTCTGGGACCAAGGCCAGGTCCTCCCACACTGGGCCTGGGCAGGCAGGAGGGTAAGGAGGATACAGGGCATGGGGGCCCTCCCTGGACTCCCGACACAACCTGTGCTTCTCCTGTAGGTCCTGTGCCCGCCAAGGAGACCCTGGTGGAAGAGACCACTGATTCCAGTGAGGATGAGGCTGTGGCGCCTTCCCAGGTAGCTCAGCCCCACCTGCCCCCTGTGGCTCTGGGCACGCAGGCCAGGGTGCTTCCTGCTCTCCGTGCTGGCCTGGTACATGCTATAGATTGTTTTAACAAAGGAGATTCTTCTTCACACTGCTGCCTGGCCACAGCAAGTACTAGTCTGTGCCTACTGTATTGATGAAAGTACTGCAGGAGATAGGGCCTGGGCCTCCGTGCCCACCACTCTGCCCCCAGTCTTCCTCCAAGTGCAGGCCGTGTGCCCAGGGAAGAGTGGGGTGCCTCTGGATCCCTCTCACACTGGGCTTCTTCAGTCTCTCCTCTCAGGTTACATGAGCTCTGGGTCAAACCTGGATAACTCACAGACTGCAAAGGCCACTTCCAGGGCGGGCCCCAACTCTTCAGCTCCCCCCACTCAAACCACCAAAGATGCCCTGAATCGAAAACTGGGAGCAGGGCCCCAACAAGGCAAGGCCACAGTGCCCCCTAAAACAGGTGAGTCAGTGGTCACAAGGGAGACAGTCAGGCACAGGGCTGTTGCTGCCACCAGGGCCTGAGTGGACCTTGTACCTGGTCTCAGACTTGAAGTGCTCATCAAAGTGTCCTGGGCCCACCCTAAGGGCCTCACTCTGGGCTGACACAGCAGGGAATTGGGGTGCTTCAGCCCTGGGGGAGGATGCTGGCCGTAGACCCTAGGCACTCTGGGCTGTCCCCACTGGCATTTCTTCACAGCAGACAGTTCAGCTAGGCTGCGTGCGTTGTAGGGACAAGTCTAGGAACCATATTTTGAGAAGATCCCAGAGCGTGGCTGACCCCAGGCCTCTTGTGTGTGAACCACATGAGTCAGGGGTGACCCACCCTGTCTGTCAAGTCCTGGCTCGCAGGGGCTCAGGGGTGCAAGCCCTGCACACAGGACGTCAAACATGGTGACCCTACAGAGTTAGCTCCTGCCGCAGCGCACCACCAACCAGGGCCGGAGTTGGGCCCATGCACAGGAGCAGGCTCGCAGCCCCTCTGCCGGCCCCCTACAGCCCAGGGGCACTCTGCAGGGAGCAACCCCTGACTTTGTGACAATGGAGGGGTCTCACTGGCCTCTCAGGGTGGGCACTCCATAGCCACACTGCTGGCCCACCTTCCAGAGCCCCCTCAGCCCCGCCCATGGGCTATTGTGGCCATCTGCCCTGTGCCTGGCCGCTGACTCTCCCGGTCTCCTCTGTAAGGCGGGTGGGTCCGGGAAACTGTTCAGAGGGGGCTGTGGAAGGTTTTTTTACACGCAGTCAGTACACAATTACCAAAGGTTGTGCAGAGGCGTGGAAAATTCTAAACAAAGGCTGTACCAGAAGTGCCTCTGGCAGGCAGTGAGCCTGCGTGCTTGGTGCCACGTGTATGCATACCGTGCCCATAGCCGCCCAGGAAGGGCCGTCGTGGTGGGGGAAGAGTGGTATAATGGGGTTCAGGCATTTCCCCTCACCCTGGAGTCATCTCCCGTCCCTAAGCCCACCTTGAGAAGAATTCACCGTGTGGACTTGTGACCTTATGTGATGGGTCGGCCTGGGCGGGCCGAGTGACCTTGTACCCCCTTTTCCCGGGCCATACTGGGTGCCAGGAGCTGGCTCTGTCTCGTGAGCCATCTGTGATGCTGAGTCCTCTCTCCACAGGCAGAAGAGAGGACACCAAGCCTCAGAAACCACGCAAGCCCAGCAAGGCTTCTGCAAGCCCCCCAGCTTCGACATTGGCCCTGCAGAACGACATCGCCCAGCGCCTCCTGGGCCAGCCCTGGCCCCTGAGTGAAGCCCACGTGCAGGCCTCCGTGGCGAAGGTCCTGGCGGAGCTGCTGGAGCAGGAGAGACACAAGGCCACCAATGGTGCCCAGGACAGCAGCAAGAAGGCCGGGGGAGGCCGCAAGCGGAAGCTGTCGGAGGACCAGCCAGCCGCTGGCGTCCCCAAGAGCAAGAAGAAAAAGAAGTTGGGGGCCGAGGGGGGCGGGGAAGGGGCCGTGTCCTTAGAGAAGGCCCCTAGGACTTCCAAGGGGAAATCAAAGCAGGACAAAGCAAGCGGCACTGCCAAGGAGAGGAAGGAGAAACCGGAAGGAGGTCTGGGAGCTGTGAAGGTGGAGGGCGGAGCCCAAGGCAGCCCTGGCAGCAAGAAGAAGTCCAGCAAGAGTGAGTGGCTGGCGGGGCCCTGGGGCTGGACCTCGCAGGGGGTGTTCTGCCAGAGCCAGATGGATGCCAGGGCCCCGGGCCAGGCGCTGGGGCTCATTCTGGGCCCCAGAAGCATGGACTCATATCGAGGGTCCAGGTCAGCCAACCTCACAGCAGCAGAGCCCTGGCACACCGCAGGGAGGGGCTGTCTTCCCCAACAAGGGCTGCTCCTTGTGGAGCGGACAGCCCTTCCTTGGTCCACCCGCACCTCACATACACACACCCCCACCTGTGCCCACGGGCTGTCAGGCCCACTCTACAGGAGTCGACTAGGTGGGGCCAGGTTCAAAGTCCAGCGGCTCCAGCAAACACCTCTCTGGCTGTCCGCAGACATTTCCTTTTGAAAGACACAGCTTTGTAAGTGAGTTTGTTAAAGGAAAGCTTGTTGTGTGCACACATCTGGCCCCTACTCTCGGGCCAGGATCACAGGGGCCCACTGACCAGTGCTTGCTAACTTGACTGGTGACCCAAATCACGTGGAGCTAGTTCCGGGATTCCTGCAGCCCTGCCCCGTGTGTCCCCCAATAGTGGCCTGACCACTTCCTTCAGAGGCGTGTCTGCGGTTGACTCTGTCTCTCCCCTCAGAAAAAAAAGACAAGGGAAAAAAGGAGAAGAAGAAGAAGACAAAAAAGGCCTCCACCAAAGACCACAGCTCACCGCCCCAGAAGAAAAAGAAGAAAAAGGTAAGTGACCGAGTCCCGAGGGTCTCGGGGATCAGGGCTCAGACTGGGCTCAGCCGCTTCCTCCCCACCCGTCAGACAGACCTGAGTTTCTAACACTGCATGCCACCGCCTGCAGTGTGCAGGTTGCATAGCAACCAAATGTCTCAACTGGCAGAATGGAAGATGCAGCGGGTCCCCAGCTTTGGATGTGCCGGGCTCTGCACAGGCTGGTGACTGTTCGGATAGCGAGCGCTCCATTGGCCATGGTTGAGCAGGCTCAGATCCCAGTCCCCAGGGAGGGTATGTCAGCTCCGTCCCACACGTGTCCGGCTGAGCAGGCCCCCTTGCACACCCCGGGCTACACCCAGAGGAGGCCTACAAGTACAACGGGCCCCTGAGGGAAAGTGAGGTGGGCCCGGGCATATGGTGGGCTTGGAGGGGCCCTTTCTGAGGTAGAGGGATGTTCTTGGAGGTTTCCAGGTGAGAGGAAGCATTATGTAGGAGGTGGCTGCCCAGCTGGTGGGGTGTCCCTACCCATCCAAAACTGTCCATCTGCACAGCAGGCACCTCAGCCAGGCTCCGTGTGGCCTGGGCCTCCACCTCACACACAGATGTGTCTTCCTGCTGCTGCAGGGCCCTGTCCTTGGGAGGGAACCACAATGTCCCGGGGTGGGGGTGTCAGTGGGTGAGGGGGTCTTCTGATATAAGAGCTTCTCGCTCTTTTCCCCTCACAGAAGAAGACTCCTGAGCAGACCGTGTGAGCGCAGAGCCGCAGGTGTGTGCTAGTCTGGGAACCCCTCACTGCCGATCTGCACACTGGGGGCGGGTGAGAGGTGGGGGCAGCTCCGGCACCCACAGAGAGCCAGTGGTCTGGAGAAAGGTCCCATTGCTCCAGGTCAGTGATGCCAGGAGTTAGGACTGCAGAGTCTGAAAGGTCCAGAACAGGCCCAGAGATGTCAGCGCCGGGCACTCTTGTGCCGAGGTCAGGCCTGGCTTGGGCTCACCCTCACCTGCTATCTTGTTCCTTTCCATCTGATCTGTAACTTTGGGGCGTGGCTTCCTGGGAAGGGAGACGTTTGCTCCTGCTATTCAACGGACCTGGGCTTCTGGGTGGAGGAAGGGCTCTGCTGGCTGGTGGCTAACGGGTCTTGTGTGAGTGAGTCAGCCAGCCTGCCACCGGTGTAGGTGAGGCCAGCGGGCTTGGCGGCTGCCCTGTGTGTCCCAAGATGCCACCTGTGGTTGGGACCTGCTCTTCTGGCTGCAGAGAGGAGTCGGGAAACCTTAGCCCTGGGTGTGTTTCTTTTCCTCAGGAACTTCCTAGTGGAGTGATGACCAGCACCTCGCTTCTGGCCTTTGCCCAGCGTGTGGGTCGGAACTGCATTGTAACTTCCCCTCCGTCCCCAGAAGAAACCAGATTGCCCACAGCACAGCGTACCGCACGGCCAGCCCTGCAGATAAGCTGGGGTGGTGGTGCGGGGGAGTGTGCCTGCTCCTGGGCCCTCCCTCGCCACCCCCAGTGCACAGGGCACCTCCCAGACACAGGGCAGCCTCGAGATGTGTACAGTATATATATTTTTTTAACTGGCCTGCCTGCCCCCGAGCAGGCCAACATGCCCAAAGCCTCAGACTTCCCCTGCCCTGCGGCCCCAGGAGGCCCCCCACCTGCAGCTCAGGCTGCTGCCACCTCTGGTCACGTTCCCCCAGGCTTTTTCTTTTCCTTTTTTAAGAACTACTCAGAAAATAAAAGGTTTGAAGGCAAGGTGCAAATGCCAGTGTGTTGCGGCAGACTGTACAGTTGGTGGGTTCTTGACCAGGAGAGTCGGGCTGGTGCCTAGAGGAGAACAGTCCAGCCCTCAGCTCTCCGCTGAGGCCGGGCACTGGCATGCCATGGTGGTGTGATGCACCCGCTGCAGACTGGTGCCCCTCGGGCTGAGGCAGCACAGGGCGGCCTGGGAGGGCTTCTTGGAGGAGGTGCCTGTAAGCTGGGGAAGGGGAGCCTTGTGATGATCAATCTTGGTTTCCAGGTGCTGGGCTTGTGCATGCACAGGAATTAAGGAGCTTGGGAACCACCTGTGGGAGTTGGGGCTTGAGCGGGGGCATGGCATGGTCTGGGCAATGGGGAGAGGGGTTGGAAGGCTACGAGCAGACGCAATAGAAGACTAGCCAATTAGGTGTAACATAAGCGACCTCTGGTGGTAGAGGCAGAAAGAACGTAGGTGAGTGTCAAGCTGTGTTGGGAACCTGGAGTTAAGGGTGGGCAGGGAGAGCCATCTCCCCTGGGGCCAGTGCTGGGCTCCGAGCAGGGGCGGGGCACAGGAAGGCACCAGAGTTCTGAGGAGGCACTTGCCATGCTGGAGCAGGAGGCAGTGGGACTCAGGTTGGCGTCTGTCCAGCCGCACCCTCGACTTGAAAACCCACCCGGGCAAGGCCCTTCTTTGGCCTCTCCCGCGCATGTGTCAGCCTCCATGGGCTTTGTGGACACACCATTCTGACTCCCGGTGAGCCTCTATTGACCTCATCGTTCTGCCAGTGACCGCCGCTTGGGCTCTCCAGAAGCCCGTACATTGAATGTGGTGGGATTTCACTTGGGGGGTCACCCTCCCTGCCCTGTGAGAAGTCCAGAACCCTGCCAGCAGGGGGCCTTCACTTTCTTGGCACCGTCCCGCTAAGCCTCTGGGCAGCTTCCAAGCACCCCCACCCCGACCTCACCCCCATGTCCCCGGCACTACGAGAGTGGGCGGCTGGGCCATGAGCCGCAGGCACTTCGAGGATGAACGGGCAGACTGCAGAGTGCTCCCTGTGACACTGCACACCAAGGGTCTGCAAA